ACCGCTACCGTGACGTCGGCCACGACGCGGAGCGGGGTGGGCAGGTGCTCGTCGTCGTCGTGCGGAGTGTACAGTCCCGTCGACGTCCGCACCGTGGGAGCGGGGGGGGATGGGGCGCCGTGTCTCGGTACCCCTACGGCCGGAGTGCTGCTATTCCACCAAGAGCCGGAGGCGAACAATTCCCCGCCCCGACCGCGAGCTTTCTGGCGAGAGGACGGGCTTGCGGAAAGCAGGGGTGGGGGAGGGATCGGCCCTGGCACCAATCAGTGCCTCGAGAGCGATAATTTCCGGGGATGTCTCGACGGCGGCAGCGGCGGCTTCGGCAGCACACCCCAGCGCCTTGGGAGAGGCTATACCTCGCAAGTCGCGAGCACTTCCGGCGCGGTCGGCAAAGTTAACTACGGAAAACCATCCGCCGACAGAGGGGGGACTGAGCCGCGAGTCACCGGGGGCGAGGGCGAGGGAGAACGGTTCGGGGTGTACGAAAGCGGTGGCCACGACGGCAGCAGTAGGGCCAATAGCGGCGAAACCGCCACTGCTGTTGGTAGCGGAAGAGGAGGCGTGTCCGCCGCAGGGTTCGCTCTCCTTGTCTCAGTGACCGTCGCCGCCTTCGCTGTCGGGAGCTGGGTGGGGCCTCCTCACCGACAATGCCCGCCCCCGGCGCCACCGCCACCGCCATCGCGGCCGCCGGAAGGGTGTGCCGCGGCGCCCCCGCTTCCATCGCTCCAGGAGTACGAGCCCACGTTGCAAGAGATGAGGCGCGTCAAGAGAGGGCGAGCGACTGCGATGAAGGAGGTGGGGCGGACACAGCCGGCGGCGGCCGCAGGGGGGGGGCGTCATGTGGCCGGGGCTGGGGCTCGAGAGAAGAGGAGGGCCGGCGGTACGGAGGGTGCCGAATTGGATACGGCAAATGACTCCGCAGAGGTATTAGCCGGCTCGATCACCGGTGCAATACCGGGGTCGTCGGATGCATGCGGAGAAGGCTGCCGGGCGGACTTGGCAACGGGCGGCGACGGCGTTCCTTCCCCCGGCGGCAGAGGGAAGCCCTCCGTCGCAACGGCAGCGACACAGGTGGAGGGGGGGGATTCCCCGGTGGCAGTGGGTGGTGCAGAGGGAAGCACACCGGAGGCGGGGACGGCGGCACCGGCGGTTTCGCCTCCGGGAACGAAGGATGACCGCAGCAGCGGTTCCGGCAGTCGCAAGGCTGCTTCCATTAACGCACAAGCTCCGCCGCCGCTGCCGCCGCTCAAGATGCCAAGCCGCAGGTTCTCGTTGTCCCGCACCTCCAGGGACGAATCGACCACCAACCGTAGACGGCGGCGGCGATCGGGGGCGGCGGATATCGGGGTGACCCCCGCCGCTTTCGCCCGGACCCTCGGGTCGGCGGAGCGCAGCTTGGCCGGCTTTCGCAGCATCGGGGACGACGAGCAGGCCGCTCGCGCGGCCGCCCGGCGCGCGGCCATGTCCAGGAGCGCCGCGCGCGCGGCGTGCGAGTCGATGGCTTGGAGCGAATCCGGCAGCTTCGCCGGGTCTGTGAGAGGCCGCCGTGGGGTAGCGGAGGACGATGACGACGGCTGCAACACGGACGCAGCGTGGAGAGACGCTCGGAGGGAGGCGATGATGGGGGCATCCTCTTCTTCTGTTACGGGTGGAAGCACTGGGGACGTGGACAGGGCCTCTGCAGGGGTAGAGGGCAAAGATCGCGCCAGCGCGGCGGCGGGGGGGGGGGCATCAACCCGCAGGCGAAGCACGGTGGATTCTGCGAACGTTTCACGCGGCCAGGAGACGGAGCAGCGTGACGACGAGCGTTTACGGGCTGGTTGCAGCGGATTGCTGCTGTCGGGTAACGACATCCAAGCACCGTGGGCGGGACGGTACGCCCTCGTGGACGACGAGGATGATGATGACGAGAGAGACGCAGGGCGAGAAGCTCTTGGTGATGGTGCGAGAGCCCCGCATTACTACTACTACTGCCTAGAAACGCCCCCCTCGCCTCTTGATGCTGGCGCCGAAGCGGACGGTCAAGCTTCATCGCCGGATGGTTCTTCGGGCGATCGAGGAGACGAGCTGCTGTCGCCGCGGCAAGGCCCTCCGAGAAGGGAAGGGCGGCCATCAGCGTTACAGGCAGTCTCCTCAACCCGCGAGTTGAGTCTCCCGGAGGCCGCGGACGGCGGGACGTTGTGCCTGTACTGGTCCGAAGCCGACGGCGGCCGCTGGGTTCTCGACGACGACCTGAGGCTCTCCAACGGAGTGGTCGGCGTCACGGAGGACCCCGCTCCTCCGGAAGCCGACCTCGCGTTTCTCGACCAGCGACATCGCGGCCGTCCGCCGCAGGCAGGCGCTACTAGTGACGGCGAAGGCGGTGCCGGAGACGGGGACAGAGAACGGGGAACTCGAAGCGGGTTTGCTAGTGAGGACGAAAGCGGTGCTGGTGGCGGGGTCGCTGTTGAGAGAGAAGGCGGAGATGCTAGCGAGGAGAAAGTCTCCGTTGAGTCAGGAGGCGCAACCGTTGGGGGGCCAGAAGGCGCCGTGGGCGGCCGGGCACTAGAGTCGTCGATGGAAGCGGCGCACCGGGCGTGGCTGCTGGATTCTCCCCGGCTGCAAGGGTGGGTGAAGGCCGATGACATGGTGGTCGTGTGTGAGACCGATTGATAAAGAGTGTGGAGGTGCAACGACAGCATAGGGCCACCTCTTTTTTATGCCATATCAGGAAACGCGGGCAGTGGCGGATGATCCATGCGAGGCGCGATGATAGGGTTACGTCACTTCAGCGTTGGGGGGGGGGGGGG